GGAAACAACAACAATCGTGACTGGAAACATTGTCCAATCCTTGAGAACTGGGGATGGATCCAGCTGAGGTAAAGCACTCAACTGGGGGGTATAGTACAGGGAATGATACTGATGCAGTAWTGGCTGGGGGTGTTGCTGTTGCTTTCCGGCATTTGTGTCGGAAACACCAACAACGTGACTGGAAAACTCATCCTGTCTATAAATAAAACTGGAACTGCATGGAGATAAGGCYGAGGAATCTTCTTTAAAACTGAGTATGATGTAGCATACACTCCAGGAGGCTTTGTTCTTCACCAATAGGTCTTGGTTGAATACTGGGGCTGGGGTTGTTGTTGCTGCTGTTTGGCACGGATGCTGGAAACAACTTCAACACCAGAAGCTACCGTACTATGTGCTTCTGGAGGAACAGGGGATGGATCAAGCTGTGGCAAACTGCTACCACCAGCTACTAGGGGATATTGATATACTTGGAATAGTCTTGGTTAGAGTGCTTGGTTGCTTGAATGGAGCCACAGAGGTGGATTTTCCCCTTTGGAAGGGGATGTCACCATGGTGGTTTGGAATTTGGAAGCCACCAGACGGAGCTTGTCAGGTATGTATGTACGCAAGAATCAGTAGGAAATCTAGGTGATAATTTTCAGAAGCGAAGTGTAATTTTGTGCCTTTGAAAAAAATTGATTTGAAAATTATGCTTGCCCTCTTTGTACTAGTACTATTGTTGCCAGTCGCTGACATGCCTGCATGTTGATCATTTCCCATGTCATTCAAGAAAGTGCAAAGAGCATGTGTTTCTTCTTGTGACAACAAGCCCATGTTGTTGTTTGTAGTAGTCATGGTAGTTTTCCTTGGTGCTGGCTAGGATTGAATTTATGACATCTTTGTTCCTTCATCAATATGGCTACAGTTCTAGTGCAAAGTGTTGCTGCTGCTGACAGCAGTCACTAATACAGCTAGCTGCTTGTTGGTGTACTCAGCTATCATTGAAGGATAAACCATTTTTGGTGGTGTATGTTACATCTTCCAGCAAGGTACGGGTAATCATTAAGCTTGTATACGCCACTTAGCATGAAGGTGACAGCAACCATTGTGGATTATGTGTTTGGTGTCATTGATAGTGATGCCAATAGAMACAAAAATAGGAGGAGGATCATCCATAGCTTCATAAATAAGGTCTGCTGGTAATTGAAACGTGAGCCAAACAATCAAGCAAAAAAACAAGCAAATATTGATTCCTAGTACAAATTCCTCATAGGATTCTACAAGAAATTTGGATTTCAAGGCTGCAMAGTTTTCGATAATTTTGATCTGTCTAATTAGCCAATCAGATTGCTTGATTCCTACCTAATTTTGGTATTGATCCTAACTCTAAATTAACTCCTAAAACCGTATTTGCTCCCCCCGTGAACACCACAAAAAAATCGATCMGCACCCCCTCTAATTATGACCCCTGACAGTGTCAACGTATTCGTACGGTAGTACGTACAGTACCGTACAGTACTGTACTTCGTATCAACCCAAGCGTTCCAATTGAGTCGTTCTTATGCTTTTCACGATTCAAAAGACAAAAACTATGTACAGTACAGAGAAGTACTTGGTATGGTACGGGTACGTACGCTACGGGTACGTACGTACCCCCCCAAGTACTTGAACGGAAATAAAATCATGTTCCATACTGTACCGTACGGTACGGTACCGTACGTCGCCGTACCGTATTGCTTCATTCGTTTCCACTGCTGGTCTTTCTTGGAGACAAAAAATTACTTCTAGTTCAGTATTTGTGATAAATTCCCATCTTTTGACAACAAAAGACTACAAAGCAAGCGATTTCAACATAAAATTCAATACAGTAAAGGAAACAATCATAAAAAGTGTCTAATTCGCCGTCTAAAATGGGTAATAAAATATCGCTTGAGGATGAAATGGTGAATTTGCGAATCGTTAGCAAGCAAATGCTACGATCGTCCAAAAAGTGCGAGAAGAACGAAAAGGCAGCGTTGCAGAAATTGAAGAAGGTAAGTCGAAGCCATTCTGATATTGCAATCCATTATGCAGTATTTCTTCGTTAATTCTAGTCTAATGCGAACAGCACACTGTACAATAGGCTATTCAGCAAGGAAATCACGAGGGAGCTCGTATCTATGGTCAAGATGCAATTCGAGAGAAAAATCAGGCCCTAAACCATTTGCGGATGGCCAGTCGAATCGACGCCTGTTCGTCCCGCATCGAAACTGCCGTGCGTATGGGACAGGTGACAGACGGGATGAAAGGAGTTGTCAAAGGAATGGACAAGGGGCTTGCCAGTATGGATATTGAAAAGATATCATCTTTGATGGATAAATTTGAACAACAGTTCGAAGATTTGGATGTCAAGACTCAATATATGGAGGGTACAATGAATGCCACTACAGCAACTTCGACCCCTGCAGAACAGGTGGACACGTTAATAGAGCAGGTTGCGGATGCTAACAATTTAGAGCTAGGTGAAGCGTTTTCGCAGGCTGGTCCTGTAGGTAAAAAGACACCTACGGTGAAGGAGTCAACCGTGGCAAAACCAGTGGCTGATGACCTAGAAGCACGCCTGGCAAATCTCCGAAACTGAGAGYGTTCATTCGGATACGAATGAGAGGTGGTGTATCGGCGTCGGCGAAATGATGCCAATGTATCTCGATTCTGTTACGTCCTCRGGATCTTCTTTCCGGACGAAATTCGATGATGATCAACCATTGGAAATTTTGAAATATTCTACGAAGAATTATGATGTTCTCTCTCTCTTTCTATCTATCCATCTACCGKATCCATCTATCCATCCATCATTCTTAGGTACGGGTGCCGCCCGTACGATATGAAACAAGATTTTTAGATTAGAATACGATTTCATCAACTGAACAAAGTACTTCACACCATTCGATAGAGTCTTGTTTCTATTTTCACAACGCAATACTACTCTAACCTTGATATGTTTCATTTGGTACAACAGAGGAASTCCTCTAATTTTTCGATGTCTTCATTTRGGTATTTCGCTACACAGAATTTTTTTCAGTAATCCAACTCTGGAGCGTGCTGAAAAAAATCTCAAAAATAGTTAACCTTTTGAACTGGAATAGGCACTATGATCGGCAGTGCCATAATTTTTTAAGGAGAATAACTAGTTGCTCCAAGTGGTGGTAGTCTGTAGCATGCTGTAGAACAGCATTAGTTTAAAATTMCTGGTACTATGCATCTTCAAACAATTGAGATCCTTTTACACACAGGATTTGCAGTCTAGTAACACATAATTTTCCAACTGGTAGCCTTGACCTTCAGGGTGTTAGCTTCAACATTCTCAACAATAGCACAGTAGACCTGTCCATTTTAAAAAAATTAAGTAGTATATAGAAGCCAGAGATGATATTCTACAGGTGAGGAGACATTACATCAGACAGCCACTGCAGTCTAGAGTTGCTTTCAGATAATTCAGATTGAGTAGCACCAGCACCAGCACCAGCACCAGCGAACTCTATTTCATCTTCCTCAATGTCAAGAAGGAAAGGGGCAGGGGAAATGACAAGCAACGATAGGGCATTGAAATGAATGAGTCTTGTGCGGTTTATCTTTATACTTACTGCTAGGAAACTAGACTATAATGATGCATATATCTCCAGAGCCAACATTGGTTACAAATGGTGGAAATACTACCATGCTGCAATTAATAATTTTCAAATCAAATTTTTGCAAATGCATCAAATGCTCTGCTTCATCTTTGCACAAAGATACAATTCTCACTTGGAAATTATACTTAGAATTAGTACTAGATTCTACTACACAAGCCAATTAAGACTTGCACCATCTGACTACCAGGAACCATGACCGAGCCCAAACCAAAGGGCAACCAGTAAGGAAACCCACTCCCTTAGGGACCTCACCAAGCCTTCTAAAGGTGCTTCCAGCTCCTTTAAAGGGGCCTCTGGCTCCTTTYAAGACTGGAATCCCCTTCCTTGACAGCTCTGACAATGAATCCAGCTCTGAATCCAGCCTCAGAACCGGCTTTGTTCCCCCCAGTCCCTCTTCAGGCTCTAAGATGAAACAGACCAAGATTGAGGCCTGTTGGGGAGACTTTRAGGATCCAGATCCTCCTCCAGTATCCAAGATCTCTGTTTTAGAAGTGGTACCATGGACTTGGAAGACCCTTGCYGATGCAATTCCGGCTACAATCCAGAAGAAGACCCCCACCACAGTACTCCAAGCAGTTGCTGCTAAGCTTCATTCTAATCTCTCTTGAGCCAAGCAACCTACATCTGTTACCATTGCATGTTCCTCCATTTATTCACATTCACCAACCCCCGATAATAAAGAAAAAGAAAATAAAAATGACCGCACGACAACACCAACTAGTACACCCCTCCTCCAGGCTCATCTGGATCAATCTCTATYCTGTTATTCAGGGGATGAGTCCATTCACGATGCCAAAGAATTGATRTCCCCGGAAGAGGATGGAATTATGTCCCCGGATGAATTGATGCMATCTGAGGATGAATCAATGCCTCCAGATGAATTGATGCCCCCAGCTAAAGGAGGATGAAGACACCTCCACAGTAGCCCCCTCCTCCACATTAGACACAGTGTGGACCCCAGGAGATTCCCTTGATAACACACATCTTGGCTCTTCCSCCCCATCCGACAGCAAGGATACCCAGGATAGCACACTCAAATAGAAGAAAAAGAAGAAAAAGYCTACYACTGAGGACWCTTTAGATGCMTGTATGGAACCGGCAGCAACTTTTCCAGCTACCAAGGTGGGTGCCTTAAGTGATTCTCTAGTCAGTGATAAATCCAAGGTGAAGGTATTAAGTGAAGCTACAGTCCCCTTTGATAAATCCAAATTATCATTAGACCCAARGAAAAAGTCCCTTAAGTGTACTTTACAAGCGCCCAATTTAAAGAACCAACCAGCAAATGATTCCCTTAAGTCTCCAGATGATGACATGCCCCCTGTGGAGAACCCAACAGCAGTGTCCATTGAAAATCCAGCAAAGACCCCTACTATGATTGCCCCTGAGTCATACAGCCCAAATCCCCCCCAGGGGCATATCCCTGGCCCAAATGGCAGGTGTTCTGTTTCTAAACAGGCCCTGGTGTTAAATGCCGAGGATCTGTCCTTAAATACATAGTCTTTAACCCCAAAGACCCTTTAAATTACCAATTCGCATGCTGTTTCTACTTCAACCCCATCTTCTATCCTTGATCTGGTACTGAATATATGAGTATGTGTACCATATACTCCAGGCTTTGTTCTTTGCTAGTAGGTCTTGTTGGTTGAATACTGGGGCTGGGGTTGTTGCTCTTGCCATCCGGCGCGGATGCCGGAAACAACAACAACAACAACAACAACATTGTGACCGGAATCTTCTTCCGGTCCATAAAATACTGGAACTGCATGGAGATGCTGGGGAATCTTCCTTAGAGGATGTGTGTAGCATGTACTCCAGGCTTGATTCCTCAATAGGATTGAATACTGGGGCTGGGGTTGGTGTTGTTGTTGTCTGGYACRGATGCCGGAAACAACAACAATGTCATGACCGGAATCTTCCTCCRGTCCGTAAAATACTGGAACTGCATGAAGATGCTGGGGGAATCTTCTTTAGAGTATGTGTGTCGCATATACTCCAGGCTTGATTCCTTGATAGGATTRAATACTGGGGCTGGGGTTGATGTTGTTGCTCTCTGGCACAAATGTCGGAAGCAACAACAACCTGACCAGAATCTTCTTACGGTCCGTAAAATACTGCTGGAACTGCATGGAGATGCTGGGGAAGCTTCTTTAAAACTGAGTATGATGTAGCATATACTCCAGGCTTTGTTCTGCACTGGGTCTTGGTTAAATACTGGGGCTGGGGTTGTTGTTATTGCTCTCCGGCATGGATGCCAGAAACAACAACAACAACAACACCAACAATTGTGATCGGAAAACACTGGTATTTCCGGTCTTTGAGAATTGGAGATGGATCCAGCTGGGGCAAACTGCAGCCAGCTGAGGTTGATATACTTGAAATAGTCTTGGTTAGATTTCTTGGTTGCTTGAATGGAGCCAGGRAGGTGGATTTTCCCCTTCGGAAGGGGATGTCACCATGGTGTTCGGATGCCCRAAKGTGCTGTTCAAGTAGGAATGTACGTAGGAATCAGTAGGAATTCTAGGTGATAATTTTCATAACCGAAGTGTAATTTCGTGCGTTTGAAAAAAATTCTTTTTGAAAATTATGGTATCACTGGATAGATCTCTTCCATTTTTGATTGAACATGCCTTGAACTGTAGCAAAGGACCCAGTAGAAGTATTGTTTTGGTCTGATTAGTGTAGCTTCTTTTTTTACAACAACTTGCAATTATCAGCATCCTCCATATCAGTGGGCCTCCATATCAGTGAGCCTCCGTATCAGTGAGCCTCTGTATCAGCATCCTCTGTATCACCACCATTCTCTGTATCACCAAGCCTCCGTATCAGCGAGCCTCTGTATCAGCATCCTCCATATCAGCGACTTGTATCAGCATCCTCCGCATCAGCATCTCCTTATTAGCATCTCCGTATCAGCATCCATATCAGCATCCTCCGTATCAGTGAGCCTCCATATCAGCGAGCCTCCTTATCAGCAGCTAGCCTCCGTATCAGCAACTTGTATCAGCGACTTGTATCAGGGACTCGTATCAGGGACTCGTATCAGCGACTCATATCAGTGACTCGTATCAGCATCGTCCTCCGTATCAGCATCCTCCGTATCACCAAGCATCCTCAGTATCTCCAAGCCTCTGTATCAGCATCTCCATAGCAGCAACGAGCCTCCATATCAGCGACAAGCTTCCGTATCAGCATCTCCATATCAGTGTCTGTATCAGCATYCTCTGTATCAGCGAGCCTCCATGTCAGCATCTCTGTATCAGCAACGAGCCTCCTTATCAGCATCCTCYGTATCAGGAAGCATCCTCTGTATCAGTGAGTCTCCGTATCAGCAAGCCTCCGTATCAGCATCCCCTGTATCAGTGAGCCYCCTTATCAGCAAGCCTCCGTATCAGCATCCCCYGTATCAGTGAGCCTCTGTATCAATGAGCRTCCTCCGTATCAGCAAGCCTCTGTATCAGCGGACACTGTATCAGCGAGCCTCCATATCAGCATCCTCTGTATCACCTGTATCAGCATCCTCCGTATCAGCGGACACTGTATCAGCAAGCCTCTGTATCAGCGGACACCGTATCAGCATCCTCTGTATCAGCAGACACTCCTGTATCAGAAAGCCTCTGTATCAGCATCCTCCGTATCAGTGAGCATCCTCCGTATCAGTCAGTGAGTCTCCGCCCATATCAGCATCCTCTGTATTTCTTGTTGTGTTAGTCTAGTTAAGCCATGATCGGCTCTGATCTTTGCTATCTTAACTGCTGAACCGTTGCTCATGATACTGTCGACGACAAAAAAGAAGCAGTCTCATCGTAAAAAAAGAGTYGCTATTGTAACACAGTAAAACAGTACTTCTACTGGGTCCTTTTCTATTGTTCAAAGCTTGTTCAATCGAAAATTGAAGATATCTATCCATTGATACCAAGTACAGTGTATGAGATTGAGTGAAAGTGCTGCTGCAAATAGARMAGATCCCCATGGTCRGTTGCTTTGAACCGAGTGTTTTGATTGAATGAAAAGAACAGTTCTASTAGCKTGCTGGAGACATGTTTTTAGGCAGGCCACAGTAGGCCTCAGTACAATTTGAACGCGCGATAAAAACCAAGCAAGATGCTGAACAGCTGCTGGGCCTGCTGGCGTGCCACCACCGGTTTTAGTACAAATTATGCGTAGGCCTACTGTGCTACTTCGAAGTAAATGTTAACACTGACATTCGGAACGTTAAACTAACGTTCCGAATGCCTTAGTTAACGTAATTTCAATTGTTATGCAACGCGTAGTACACGTGTATTTATTCAAATTTTGAACCCTGGTTGTACTGCAGTAGAAGAAAGTAATTTTTTTGAACAAATAAGTTTTACTACTAAATAATTTCCGATTTTTCTGCAACTGTCTTACATATATCTTACAATGCACCAATTAAATGTGCGTACTTTTCATCAAGCAAATAATAAATTATTTCCTGCAAAAAATCGTGACGTAAAAGTTGTATCAAAATTCAATGATTGGTCATCAAGAGAATATTTGATTGTCATTGGTTTCGAACAAAACATGAACTGTTGAAGCTTACTTCGCGTTGGTGACAATGCTTCGCGTAATCTTTCTTCTACTGCTAACGCTAGCTTCTGCTCCTACTTTTCTTACGTGATCTTGTATCCAAATTCGAACAGGAGATCGAATGTCCTTTCCTTCCTCTGCTGTTTCCTGAAAAAAGCATTTTCTTCTTCGCGTTCCGAATTTCCGCATCGATAAAAGCCTCCTCCAGCTGAAAATCTTCGTTCACGACATTCGGATCAACCTTTGGAATGACTCGGATTGATGATGTAGGATGTGATGTGAAACTCACCGCTACCCCTGTAGCTTTAGTAAACTCGAGTTGGTCATAATCGTCTATCCGATACTTTCGCGATTTACTTGTAGCAACACTTATTTCGTCGGAACCAAAATTTGCGTAATGGCGAGTGAATGGTTCATTATTCAAACTACTTTGAGCTACCAATCCTATCCAAACATCTTCCAGGAAGGCTTCCTCAACATCATCGGAGTCTCTTTCCTTCTTCATCTCTTTTCTCCATTTTTTGCGACGTTTCGTGGCAAGGACAAACTCGTCAGTCTCGTGTTTCACATGCAAAAAGAATCGTTGTATCACGCATGCTGCTTTATCTCGTTGGTACTCGTCCATATCCTCTCGGACTTGTTCCTTCATTTTGAGTGCCTTGATCTTTTTCGAGCGCTCTAATTCAGCTGTTTGAATTAACACGAAGACAAAGCGGCGTTGCATATATTCTTGCCGAGCAAGACAGCAACGCATGAAGCATTGTAATACCAAAAGAGCATTCGCTTGCTTTTTCATCATATTGTAAATTCGGCGTCCACGCCACCAACTCTGGAGTTGCATAGTACATCCAAGCGTGTACCAGTAGTTTTGTCTTGCGTGAAAACCCCTGTAAATTCTTTGAAATGCAACTGCCCCTTTCGTTTGGACAATTGTTCTTTTCAGGTTGGATCGGATAACAGAAGCAWATTTTTTTCGAGAGAGATATCCTCTAGCAATCCTCTGGGCTACCACGATATCAGAAAGCGTAAAAACGAAATCAGTGTAGCTCACGAAACCCCTCCATACGCTTTGGATYAACGAGGCAGCAAGGTATTCGGTTCGTAACAACGATACTTTCTGTTTAGCCTGTATAGATCTCCATTTTTTCTGGATGCGTTGGGCAGCAACGAAAGTGACGAACCCTTGTCGTGGAATATAACGACGCCAAGTGGCCTGTATYCTGCGGGCAGAGATATATGTTACATAACTTTGACGAGGAGTAAATGCTCTCCAGGCTGCTTGAATTTTACGAACTGCGACATAGAGTCTCACGGCTGTACGAGCTTGATTTCCTCTGATACGAGACTGGATCAAGACGGCAGCCAAATGCACTTTGAGTGCAGTCCTGCAAAGCGATCCCCGAAACAATCGTTGAATCATAGTGGCAGCGCCAGATTCCCTCTCTCCTACCTGCGAACAAGAGTGTGTTATGTTATGAAGGATGGCTAGTTGGCTGGCCAACTTTTTCGCAAAGAAATTTCTCCAGTTCGATTGAATTGCCAGGGCGGCTTGCTTTTGAGATGAATATTTTTTGTTTTGGATATGACCTCGCACATGTGCTTGAATTTGAATGGTGCAATCAAGGGTAATCATGAAATTGGAGAAACACCAGAACCGCCTCCAATTTGTTTGGATGACTGTGCACGCAATGCGCTCTCGCTTCGTCTTCGCGATAGCTTTTTTCCGACTGGCTTGTCGTCTTGCCAACCATCCACGGATCTCTTTTTGCACTACTACAATATCAGACAATTCAAACATGTAATCTGCGTAAATGAGAAATCCCCTCCAAGCACTCTGGATAACAACAGCTGACTTTTCTCTTCTGTAGTTCCTCTCGCAGACAAAACCGCGCCATGTACTCTGAATTTTTCTTGCCGCTTTGAACTCTTCATAATCAGCGAAACAGACAAAGCCTCGCCACATYCGCTGGATTGATGTTGCGGCCTGATTTTTCATTGCTTTCACTTTACGTTGCACAAGGAAGCGTCTGATTGTACTCTGCACGATCAGAATATCAGTTAGAAAGTGAAGGAAGTTCATCTGACAATCATATGACCTCCAAGTTTTTTGGATACTTCTTGCTGAACAATAGCGCTTATACATTGATGAGCAATCATAAGATCTCCATTTAGCTTGGATCATGGTAGCTGCAAAGTTCTCGATGTATATTTTTCTGCACACAAATGCTCTCCATTTTGTCTGTATTACCCTCGATGCCAAATATGCCAATTTTTCTTCATATTTTGCTCTGCACAAGAATGTCCTTACCACCGCCTGGATTCGAGTTGAAGCTTGATATTCCACATACTTCGATCTGRCCACTACCATCCGTGAAATGGACTGTATTAGCATTGCTGCACGGTAATTATTGTACTTGATTCTACATACGAACATTCTCCCGATAGATTGAATCTTTCGCGACGATATATAGAAGAGGTAGTCCACTCGATAGTCATGGCATCTCCATGCTGCTTGGATAGCTCTTGCAGCCTTGTACTGCAAAAAGTCGCATCGACAAAGGTACATTCGTAGTGCGCTTTGGATTTCGCAAGCTGCTTGATACTCGACATAGTCATATCGGCACAAATACATCCTTCCAACTGATTGGATTGCTTTCGCTGCTTGGTACTCCACGTATTCACATCGACATAAATGCATTCTTCCGATTGATTGGATTGTTTTAGCCGCTTCATATTCCACGTAGTCGGACCGGCATAAATACATCCTACCAATTGACTGGATAGCTTTAGCTGCTTGGTACTCAACATAATCATACCTACATAAGTACATCCTTACTGCAGATTGAATAACTCTCGCTGAGAGATAGCAAAGGATGTCCATCCGACAGTCGTACGCCCTCCAACACGCCTGAATAGCAGTAGCAGCAGCACTGCGCTTCTCCTCCACTTTTCTTGCTGCTGCTCGCATTGCCAATKTTCTCCTCCATAAGCTTTGTACAATGATGATGTCTAATAAATCGAATTGGTATGTAAGACGATTGTAGAAACACCGCCAGCTTGATTGAATCAYAGTTGCAAATTTGTCGAGGTGTGCTCGTTGTTGACGAACTAGAAACCCACGTGCAATGGCCTGGAGCTGGATGATGAGTGACATACGGTAAGCAGCATGATCCATTGCAATTTTCATACGAACCAAACTTTGCACCAGTGTAACTTTGTATATTTCTTCGTAGACTTCCATCGTTGCAAGATAACCGCGAACAAATCTTTGGATCTCAATGGCACAAATATGTTTATCAATAATGTCATTTCTTGCAAAATGACCGCGCATAGCTGCCTGCATTGTAATAATTGAATTCTGAGCCCTATGGTAACGCTTTTGAGCCAAGAAGCGTCGTGCATAAGTTTGAACAACAATCAGGGCCCACATTCGTGTTAAAGCATGTCTCATGGCAAGAAACCTTCGAACCTCGGTTTGTATCGGAATTATTGCTGAAGAAAGGAGGCGTAGTCCTACTCGTTGCATGGGGTCCGTTGCGCTATTGATGTCGTAGGTAGGGAATCCTTCAATTTGTCGACTTGCTTTGATTACAACATCATTATTGTAGTGTAGTCTTGGGCGTCGAAGAATTGTCCTGAGAACTCGAATATCAGATTCAATACTCGTATCATCCAATGAATTACGTGGTTGCAACGAGATGTATTCATACTTGTTTCGCGTCACAACATTTGATTTCCTAAGACTCTCTGCAAGCCTCTTCTGATAATTTTCGTACGTTGAAGAGGAACACGAAGCATCACTGGCACCCGTTGAAGCCGAGTGAATCGTCAAATAACCTTTTTCATCCTCAGGATCCTCGCTAGAATTTTTCTTTGCAATGGTATGATATGCTTTGCTAGCTTTCGAAAACTTCATCTTATTTTTCCCTCCAACCATAATCGACTCTGAATGCGGGTCCGCTCTAGCCAGTACTTGATTGGAATTTTGATAGCCAATACTKCCGGGGAATCGAGTATCATTGTGACGACCGATACCTATTTTTCTSTGCAAATCCGAAGTCTGATCATTCCGTAACTTATGAACAACCGATTTTTTCCTGAATCTGCTTCCTGACAATGAAGTGTCACCTGAATTAGAGTTATTACGAACCATAGACAATTTCTGWGARTGCATCGACGAATGAACTCTTGAAGGGGGKACAGAATTCCGTGAAAGGTCTTTGACTTGGCTCTCGTCCGTACCAGAAACTCGCGCTTTAGTTCCTCTGCCCTTCGCTTCAACGCCGGGATACTTCCGCGACTGATTTAAAACRTTTGAAACTTTCAGTTCACGGACCGTGGATGGCTTCCTTTGCACAGGGCTTTTACTCTCTCTRGAATGGCTTCGAGCTTGGTTTGAGAATATTGATCGCGCTGGACTCGCCGAACGAACTCCCTGCGTCTCCTGAGAATCTTTCCCAGCCAGACCTGTGTCAGTGATCCGCCCCGTATTTGTACCACGAATTCTTGTCCGAGAGGCCATAATATTGACCTTCTGGGTTGCACTTTTCTTCTTCATCGTCGATCGAACAGGATTGATATCAGATAAATCGTGCGTGGTTCGATTACTATCAGATGTCTCTTCGTCAAAAAATATCTCGGAATTTTTTCTAGAAGTTTTATCTTGGCTTACAMCATTTCGTAGCATTGCCTTGTCCGTATCTTGCCTGCTCTCTTTCGGAACGCCTTTTAGCCTGCGCTTACCAGGGCCTGMTTCTTCCTCTGAACGGGATACWTGTCTTGACGTTCTCTGCTTTCCTTGCGCGAGAAGTGATGAATCAAGTATATGCGACTTCGAAAGGTCAGTATCTGTTGTTGAATTGGATTCATCTTCACTATTCATTTCCATATCCAAGTGATCTAACTTCGGATCAAAGAATTTGTCTCCATTTTCTTTCGTTGCATTCGAAGGCGATGGTAAAATATCTGGTTCAAGATCGTCGAAAACGTCATCATGCATCAGTTTTGACCTGCTAGAAGACGTCACGGGTGTCTTAGTCTCAGACTTCTCACCGCCATCCGCTTCAGAAAAACCGTCAACGGTGAAAGCATTTCCTTTACCATCTGAAAAACCTTGAACTTTTCCTCCCACCGTATCGACGTCATTATTTCGTACAATAGAATAATCGGGAGGCGTGCTGGCAGGTAGAGTTCCTGGTTGTCGCCCATTTTGATTCATTGATCTGGAAGCTTGAGCTTTGCCATTAATAGAGGACTGAGTATTCACTCCAGAAGCACTCATCGATACATCGGAGAAATATGTGCTACTAGGATGGGGTTCGTTGCGAATCTGTACCTTCTTTTCGCCTATTCTTGATTCTTTGAACTTACTACTCTCCTTATCCTTTGCTTTTCTGCCGAATAATCCTTTGAAAAAACCCTTGCGCTTTTTCTTAGCCTCGCCTTTCCCAGAATGAAACTCGTTATTATCGTCGTTATCTTCGATCTCATTTCTGTCACTGTTGGTAGTTGAGGCTAAAGACGGATGAAAACCAAACTTCTCATTATCGATTGCTGGTCGATCGGAACCAAGAGAGACCGAGGCATCAAAAAATTCATCTCCTCCGATAATCTCACCGATGGTTTKATTTCCAACCGGTTCACGAACCGAAGACAGGGGAAAACCAAACGCATCTGCATCAGCATCTGAGGGTTGAAATACTTCATTGCTGTCCCGCGTCGGAAAGGAAGCACCAAATTTCATTTCTTCCACTGAATCCATTTTGAAGACGCTCTCAAAGGCCTGAGGTGCAAAGGAATCTGAAGTCACGCTGTCGTTCTTACTGCCTCTCGACGAAACATTCGTCGATGGCTGCAGTTGAGTTTGGTGGTGATAAGCGTTTGCGTCTTTCGGAGGAGGAGGTAACATCGTAGTAACCTTAGTTTTACCAGGCGTGAAATCTCTACCATTATTGTCTTTGTTTCTCTTATCAGCTTCAAACACCACATTGGTCTGCAACGTGGATTTTTTGTTTGATGTCGCTTTAGATACACTGATGAACGACAAAGGTTCCGTTTGTGATTTGCTGGTCCACCCTTCTGCAGGAAGGACCCAATCATCAGATTCTGTACTTTTACAACCTCGAGCACTCCCCGTATCTGCAACGGGAGTGTCGCCGATCAATTCATCGGTTTCAGATGGTTTTTGTGTTGCCAAATTAGATTTCTGTTGGGACAATGTTCTTGTCGCTCTATTTGACAAGGATGATTCTGTTTGTGAATCTCCAGAACGGATCCATTCCTTTGCTGGGGTTTCCCAATCATCAGATTCCGCACTTTTGGCGGAGACGACTGCCTCTCCCCAATCATTTGCAGATACTTGAGTATTTGCTTTGTTGCGCTCAGGTATAATCCATTGGTCTTCGCCATTTCCATCGACGTCCAGGACTCCGACGTTCTTACTTTTGTCATTATGGGGGGTTGACGTATTCAGCGGAGTTGACTTGGAAACTAGGGTCRATTTCCCTCCGGTTGGTTTACTTTGCCCAAACAACGTTGACATGCGACCCTTCACAGTACCATTAGGAATTTCCCGCGTAGGTTCCCATCTTCTACTTKGAGTACTCGTTCCTTCTTTCTTCTCATTGTTTTGAGTGTTGGAAGATTTCAGTTGCTTTGAATTTTGTACGGAGTTTACTGAATACGATTTCGTAGTTGCGTTCTGTTTCTGTTCCCAGAGATAACTTCCAGCTTTTGGGGAGAGCCCACGAGGACTYGTGGTGTTCGTAACCAACCTTCCTTTGCTTCCTACGCTCATCTTGTTAGGCACAGCGGAGTTGTGTACTGCGTTTTTCTTCCGTGGCGAATCTTTTGCCGCAAACGGATTATTACGAACTGCTCCAGCCGGAATATCACGSTTTACGTTCCATTGGTCTTCTTTACGAGATACATGTGAAGATGGAGACACCGCTCCAGTGCGACTTGCTTGAAGTATAGGTTCACTGCCCAATGTAACACCGACACTCTTCCGTGGAAAATGATGGCCAACGCTTGAACTAGATTTCCCACCCGTATGCATGGGACTTTTTGTTCCACTTTTTAGGCTATCCTTATCAAAGGAAGAGACATTCCCCGTGATGCCTCTGTTGAGGTAGGATGAAGAGRCAGTGGGTGTCACCATGTCATAAAGTCGTCATTCAAATCTAAAGATTTGTAGTTAGAAAGAAAATTGCAAACTTAGAGCGAGAACAGTGGAAGATTGTCGACCAAATTGAATCTTTGTATCAACCTCTCTACGCAGCACGCAATATGGATATCAGACTCCGTCTCGAAAGCAACGGGAGAATCTCCGCCGTGGTCGTGGTTCCTGGTGTTTTCAAGCTCTTGATCCGTCAACGCTGTGCAAAAAAGACCTTTTCAGGTGTGCTTGCCTCTATGTCTGAAAGCTGTTGCTGCTTATGAGTAATGCGATAGCCCACTAGAATCTAAACAACTATCTTCGGCATGATTCATACAAAATGACAACAACACAGAAAAAGTGGTACGAGATTTCTTTCAAAACGAAACGGGTACTCGCACTTTTTACGCACCGGTACGAGCAGGACATTCGACCATTATTATTAGTTTAGCTTCCTAGAAGGAGTGCTCTTACTCTCACCGCTACGAATTCGTATTGTTTCATCTGTGCAGAAACTTCTGGGATTTTTACTAGAGCGGGAAAACGACTTGGCGATCGGAAAACGTTTTGCTTTCCCCAAGAGTTGGCACATATTTATCATATTCAGACACTAATATTTTAAATTGTCTAATGGTGTCGTAAATAATAGCCATGGTACGAGCACTACAAGTACGKACTACTGTTMGGAATGTACCGTTGCAAAGATATTGCTCAAAGGGGAAGTCAGGACGGCCTACGATAGTAGCGGTAGTGTAAGCACGTACCGTATAGACAGCCGTTTTCAACCCGTCTCTCTAAAAAATTACTTTCAGTAGAAAAAAATAATAGTATTACGGTACGGGGTTCCTCGTATCATGGAATTCTCCTCCTTGGTGGTAGTGTAACGTCTCCAGCTTTGGTATCTTAGCTACTGATATCAATGCTGCAGTTTACAAGACAATGAGAGCAATAGGGCCTTCATTTGGAGGCAAAGCTCATTGCCAGTGCTTTGTCCTCTCCTATTGCTTAGGGCTTGATTGTCTTCCTTGATGTCCTTGAAAACAGAAGAGCTGTTTCATTCCTCACTTTATTGGTGGTGTTCACGCTCTTCGGTCTGTCCTTCCTCGTGGTGGAATCCAGTTGAGTTTTGCGACACGTGGAGGATTTCTTGCTGTGGTCTGTCAGACACGTGGAGGCTTTGCTCCCAAATCAAGTTAGTCAAGAACTAATTATACTATACATTATATTGCATACTGAGCCTTCCTGTTTTTAGCTCAATCAGTCAGTCTTTGGGGAAATGCTTATTTCACCAAAGTCTGCGTCGGGGGGGAAGCCCCCCTCCAGGGACATGGGCCCTCTTACTTAGAATAGGGTCCATGGCTTATGTTGAAAATCAAGCCCCTGTTCCTTGTACATGCTCTGAAGCTCTGGATGTGGAGATTTACTCACTCACCCGTGAGGCTGAGCTCTGGAGGCTGTACAGAAAAACAGATGTTTGTTTTCCAGGGCATAGATTGGATAGGATGTCTCTTGCATCGACTCATCCGATTAAGCACTAATCCCCCCTTGTAGCATATTCGTCATAGTGTAGTATGTGCCCCCTGTTGTGGTGTTATTTTGCTGGTTACAGTATCAACGATACTCCGTTTCTCAGTAACAGCCAATAGGGATACACCAACAGTAGCTTAAAGCTTCCCTTGGAAGCGTTTCAAGCAGTCATTTAGAAGATCCTGCTGGGCATAGTGGTGTCTTAGGTGCTTGCTAGGGTCCTCCCCTCGAGCTCGTTCCCTTTTGGACCATCTATTTGCGATATCAATGTCATCCCCTCTAACATGTTGGTGAGTAGCTTGAGATGTAGCGGTCCTCCGCATAGTACGATCTATCTGTATATAGATCTTGATATCTTCCGGGGAGGCGATAGCAGTAGGAAATAACTGTGGCTTCTCGTTATGCACATGCTATATTGCCTCCCACAGCAGTTCATTCATGGCATTGTTGGATAGAATATATCCTTCTTGGTCGCAAAAGGCTGGTCCTACCGTCCTTTTCGCTCTTCCGTGTACTTCTAAGAGCTGATCCCTCCACCACTGGATGTTGATTCCGGAGCCAGTCAGTGGGATAGCTCGCATGAAATACGTGTAGGGTGTGGCTCCTCCTTTTAGTTTCCCGTAAAGAGGAAGCCATACAAAGCCCTGTTTAATCTCTCGGTGCTTTTGCAGAAGGTAGATGTCCATTAGGAAGCCTTCCTGTCCTCTTAGAGACAGTACATATCCAAAGGCAAGGAAAGCGCCTGCCATTGTCCATAGCTCTCTTTCCGGAGCTGTGGAGCCTTCCGTGGCTCGTTCACGACAGTAGTTTAGAATGAGCTTCCATACTTCCACACTAACAGCAACGTTCGGTCTTACATCTATTCCCATCCTGCCCTTGCATCCAGTGAGAAAACGGTTTTGCCAATAGGAAGTAGCGCCTCCAGCATGGAATCTACTAGCTAATCCCTTGGTGTCACACACGAGAGCTGACCCTTTGAATAGGGGATCGGTTGCTACTCTCTCAAAGTTTCCGACAGCAGTTTTGACTCTACGGATAGATTCCCATTGTTTGTGGTCTGCGGAGTACTTCCCTTCTTTAAGGGAATCCTCTAAGACTGCTATTGCTGTCTCAAAGCCGAAACTATCATGCGATGGGGAAGGTCCAGGGTCATAGAAAGGGCCGATCAAACCAAACTTGGTGAGGGACTTTAGTGTCCTCTCAACGGTGGATCGAGTGGCTCTAACAGTGCTGGGGGCTCTGCTCCAAAAGGCGTCTAGATTTGCTCTGCGGATATAGATGAGTAAGAAATCATCCGAAGCACTTTGCTTGTTTGGATCCCTTTTCTTCATTCTTCGAAAAGCACACAGATCACATTGAAAAGGTGTAAGCAGATGGTCTCCGGGTCGTGCATAGTTGAATTCGTTGATATCCGGCTTCTTCTGCTTCCACTTCCTGTTAGTTGCTGCTTGTGGATGAAATTGATTTGGTTTTTCCTTCCGAAAGAAGCTTATCTTGCTATTCAAAGTATAGCACTTTGTGCACCAAGTCCCATGGCATTTTGGGAAGCCTCCTACTGACCATGTAAAATTCATGCAGAAGAGAGACTGCGACCATTTGGTTTGTTTTCCACAGCTTTGACAGCTTCCTACGTAGTTGGAACATCTTCGGTGTTCCCCTGAGTGTCCACGGGTCATGTTTTAAGTACGGAAAGCAAATGCCCATAATACAAGGCTCATACATGTTAGTGTCCCAGTATGGGCAAGTGGGGGGTATATCAACGACAAGATCACAACACTTAAATAGCTGTTTCAACCAAAGTGGGGTCATGAGTCGGGGGCATAGTATTATATGAGTGGAGATCTGCCTTTTCAGCCGTGACTTCCTGAGCTCTTCTAAAGCCACGTCACAAGCAGCTGGAGGGGGATCCCAAATATATATCCCCCCTCGAATCTGGGGCTTCCAAAATTTATCTTCCCCAATAGTACCACCTATAACATCATGGCCTCGTTGAAATCAGTCCATGGGGGATAAGTAGACGACTTCGTCGCCTTCTGTGATCCGTGATATAAGTTCCTTTAGTTTCGGCTCTCGGGTGATACCGGAGAGGTGAAAGGGGATAAATGATCGATAGTCTATGCCCCCCATCACTCCTTCATTTAAAGCTCCCCGTGAAAGGCCGTCTCCGCCTTGCTTGATCATCCGAAATCCGGAGACATGAGTTACTACAGCCTCGAATCCAAATTTCATTTGCAGTGCACTGAACTCTATCACAAGATCAAGTAACTTGGGGCTGTCACATGTCCCTTTGTATATAGCCCCTTCCACTGCAGTATTATCGGTGGCAAATATAACAAATGCATTGACTAGTCTCCCCTCTTCTCCTTCCCTGTTAATAGCATCTATAACATTTTGGAACTCGCGGAAGTTTGATGATTGACTGGACACATCTGGTGACCAGCTGCCGTGATGGAAAGATATTCCTGCTGGAGTGAGCCAGTTGTCTCCGAAGCCTTCTCCTGAAGCATCTCCAAATCCATAGTTAACCTGATAGATCCTTCTTGCTCGCATTGATACTTTGGTTGGCTTATCGTGTTTAAAGAAAGCTTCTAGGGCTTTTAGATCGTCCGCTAACCGAGGGGAAGGAGATACTCTCGAGGGATGTCCCTTGGCGTGGGCCTCGATGAGCCTGTTTCGTAATTCATCATCTTGGATGGCTGCTAGCTTGTCTGTCCATTCTTTGGCTTTCATCTTCCATCCATCTTCATTCCTATTTGGCCTCCAGGAGTCTATTGATTGGTGTAGACCTTTTAGATGGGCGTTAATCACCTTGTAGGTCATGGCAATGTGAACTAAGAAACCGCGGTCCTTTTCCAGCTGTTTGTAATCGAGTTTCTTGTCTGTGGATGAGTCCATTTCTTCCTGTATTCGCTGGATGATAGGTAGGATTCTGTCCCACTTGGCCTGTGTTATCGATTTAAATATGGAGTCGTTGTTTGCTTCAGTAATGCCCCCGGCCCAAGCTCCTGTTTCCTTATTCGACGGGGGTCTTAATTTCCTAGGGGCGTGCTGGATTCCTAGATATTGCAGGTACTTGGCTAGTCGTTGTGCAGCTTGCCAAACGATCTCGGAAGTAGCTCTGGAGGCTCTAACATCATCGACGAATGTGATTATAGCTGCTGGGATGCAATTCAAGTCGTCATCCCACTTCATAACCCATGGAAGCCTGGGATCGAAGTCGTCCATACCTGGAAGGTTAAGTATGACTCGGGTGTAATGGAAGGGGTTCTTCTTGTCAGATATATCCCCTATAACGAATTCTTTGGCGTGATAATAGAACTTTATAGCAAAGAAAGGGCTGGGTCTGAAGCCCATTAAGAGTCTGGTCCATGAAACTGAGGTCAAATTGACCTTTAGTTGCTGTGCTTTGGGCAGCTTGTGCGATATTTGAGAGAGTGAGACACACAGATATGGTCTTATATCGTCTGGCACTGGGAAATTAAGGAACATTTCACCAAGATCCAGATCCATCACCCAGTATCCGTATGACAGCTGCCGTATCGCAGTGTTTGGTGTGGGTAGCCAGAAGTTTGGGGCCCATACAGCCTCGTTGAGGCCACAGCTGGTTCCATTATAGACGATTCGAATATCTAGAATTTCGCCATCGGGTCCTATACCTTTGGGTACGCCAAAGAAGTCGATATAGCTAAGCGCTTTGTGAACGGGTGCTATGTATGTTTTCTGCAACACGTCCCCTACCTTATTTCCTATTTGAGTTGCCATTTCTTCCTCGATTCGTCTGTGCTTTACCTTGTATTTAGGAAGACGATCTTCTTTCACAAACAACGGAAACCCATCCCGTGCTGCGTTGATGGTTTCCTTTGTTGGCCATCGCCAGAAGAGAAGAGTGGATCCGTTATCCCATTTCCACCATGATGAT